AGAGAGAGAGAGAGAGAGAGAGAGAGAGAGAGAGAGAGAGAGAGAGAGAGAGAGAGAAGGGAAGAAGGGAAAAAGGGAAGAAGGGAAGAAGACGGGGGAAACAGGAGAAGAGGGAGGTTCCATTGCCGGCTTTTTGTGTATTTTACCTGGTGGCCTCTCCAAGGCGAGAATGTCTGGCAAACACCTGCTCCAGACCTTCCTCAAACAGAAGATCAAGGGCCGCACGAAGACCGTACAGCATCTGCGATGAGGGTGTGTATGGCCAGTACGTGCCTGCCTCGTAGAACTTAATGTAGTCACCCCAGTCAAAGAATACACGTGTGCTTGTTGCTGTCTTATAGGCTTCCATAGCCCTTGGCCCCGCAATGACAATTCCCAGTCCTGTTGGCAGGGAGAGTGCCTTCTGTGACCCCGTCAACGCCACATCGACTCTCCACTCGTCCATGCGGAAATCAATCGCACCCACTGAGCTCACCCCGTCAATCAATAACAAGGCTGGATGATTGCATGCATCTGTGGTCCCCATCCATCCAAATCCCACCACCAACACAATCTCAGTACCATGAATTATTCATTCATTTGCTACTAAAGTCAATAATAGCTTGCTTTACTCTTTCTTTGCCAAAACCTCACTTAAACCCTTGACCCCTCTTCTCAACTTCCCCTCCACCCAGTCCCCAATCCTCAAACAACTTCCCATTTTGATGATGCAAGTTCAACAACCAACAGGAGGAGATATTATCTTAGCTGACACATTACAACAGAATCACGTCTGTAATGTACCAAGGGGCCTGGCTCAGTTGAAAATTGAGCTGCAAGATTCCCCACTGCTGCCTCCCATAGTCTGGGCCGTGTCTCAGTCCCAGTGTGGCTGATCATCCGAAACGACCAGCTAAGCATCATCGGCTTGGTCAGCCTTTACCTAACCAACTACCTAATACTACGCGGGCTCATCAAACAGCGCTAAAAGCTTTGACTATCACGCTCACACAGCCTTCCCTGATTCCCCTGTTGACAGTCTCTCCCGCTCGAAATTCCGAGACATAATTAAATTACTTCCAGAAATGCCTCATCCAAGTTTGGCCACGTCTGGGATGATTGGGTGAGAATCACCGCTTTCCTGGTTGGGGAGGGTTGTTTTCGCTTCTTTTCGCTTCTTTTAGCTTGTTTGACCGTTCACCAGATTGTGTCGTTGACTGAAAATTAGATGCTGTATTTAGTACGGGGGAATCCCGTACGTTAAAAAAAAAAGACGCGAAAGGGAACTAAGACTTTCCCACAGTTGACACGGAGAACAGTTCGCACGATTCCAGGCAGTTCACAGAAAGGCATGTGTGTTGAATGCAGGCATCCTTCAGCGCTGTTCCCCTAAGCATGGGTGTGGGGGTACCTCATATCACCCGTATGTGTGTGCTGTCATCAAGACTTCAACTCTGCTTAAACCACCAGTGCATGGGTCCAGGAAACTGGAGAACCTGTTCTGAGCCTCTCTGAAAATTTAGGAGGCCGAGTGGAGTGCCGTAGATTAAATGAATCGGCGGCGGGCGGCCTCCGAAAAGGGCCCACGGCCGATAGCTGGCATGTACTGGTGCTGCTTTAAAGGCACCAATCTCTGTAATGCCGCAAAGGAGTTGTAGAACAGACTTCTATCTCGTCTGTTTTTCAACTAATTATTACGCCGTTCAAGCCACTGCTGAGAATAGAGTGCAGCACATGCTGCTGTTCCACTAGGAATCGATCCAATTGGAAAACTGTGGATGTTAGGTGCAAGGTTCCCCATGTTCATGCAGTTGAGTGGGAAGTGCCCTCACACCGCCCCGCCATGCGCACACTTGCACACAAATCTATTTTTAGTAAAATACCATACATTGTCAGAAGAGGTAAGAATAGGAGACAAGGGGAAAGCAAGGCAGAGAAAAGCAATTATATATTGTCGCACAGAACTCCCGGGTGACTCGCAGGCAGAAAGAGAGAAAGGACAAGAAACAGGGGGCTGTGACAGACGGTTTCATCGGAGTTCCACTGCCTCATGCTTGAAGAGGGATATATATATTGTCACAGAACTATTCACTAAGACCACAAGCACGTGAAGTAGAAGGAGAAATAAGATGAGCAAAGAAAGGAAAATGAAAGGATAGACAGGCAAAGAGACAGACAAACCAGAATGACAGAGAACAATGTCCTCTTATTCTTCGTTGCACTGTATCCTGAAGAAAGGATAAAAATCAAAAACAAAAGCACATTGAAATCATTCAGTTTCTCAGTCTTCTTAACGCCTCCTCCACCGTGCCTCTAACGTACAAGGCTCGCCACGTTGATGAAGTTGAGCGCGAGCTGCCCCCATCCCCGTATGCCATAATATCCTCTTCAGGCGCTACAATCCTCACCCGAAAAGAACGCCTGGTCATTATTGACGCATCTAGACAGAAAGTTACACTACATACAGCTATAGTGAACGGGTGTTCTATTCGGGTGAAGACATCACAACAAACTGACATAACAAACTGGTAAGACAAACGAGCACAAGGAGCAAGACTCATTGGTAACCTGGAATGCACGGCAAAGCGTACCCTATGGGAACCGGAACACTAAGTTTGTGGTGAAGGGTCATGGTGACGGTACGTTTGTGGTGAAGGGTCATGGCGACAGATAGAACAGAAAAAGGTTAGGGTGCAGCCTATGACACCACCACATCCAATCCTCAGAGTGACAAACACTACCGGTAGTGCAAATGGAATGGCACAGACAGACATCACAGGCAAGATGCCTTCCACATGCCAGGAACATTGAAGCACGCTGGTCACAGTTGTACATACATACACCATAGGTCAAGCCTTTCTGGACATGAAGGAGATGTCTGGCATCAGAGGGATTGTAATGAAGATGAGTGCACGGCAGACAATTGTCAGGTCGGTCTCTATCGAGGCGCACAGACTTGCGCAGACCATGCCATGTGTGTGTTCGCGTTGTTTTTGTGTGTCCATACAACCAATCATCCATGTGCTTGCGTTCATGTTGCATGTGCTAGGGACAGCACATCTAGCAAGCCATTTTATTTTTCAGCCGGGAGGGGGTGGGGGGTAAACTCAGAATGCATCTAGCAACCCTGTTGAGCGATGGAATAAAGAATTAAATTCAGCCCAATGCACCGCATACACGGCAAGGTCAGACTCCTACGATTCATCAGGATGCTGAACCGTCTGTAATGACTCTGTATACAATACTATACATATTACATACTACCGTCTTGACCCGGATAGAACGTCCGGTCATTATAGCTGCATTTGGCACAACTTTCAGTCCAGATGCAGCGATAATGAGCGGGCGTTTTATGAGGGTGAAGACGGTAGGGGTTGCATGGCAGCTGACCGCCAACACCAACCACTTACAAATCAGCAGCCGACCGGCCCACTCGCTATGTTTTCTGAGAAATTGAAGGCAGGACCATTCCACGCATGCGTCAAAGCCCCGGAAGCAGCTGTAATGATGTTTCCGCTGCCTTTCCTGGTGCTTGGGTTTGGGTGGGGGTGGGGGGGTGGGTTCGGAGGGACGTTTGTAGACAAGCTGTTGAGGGACAGGCTGCAGAGACATTTGTTGACAAGGGGGACGGGTTGGGGGTTTGCAGGGACATTGATGGACTTTTTTTTTTTTTTTGATCGACAAGTTTGTTGGGCGATGGGCTGGATGTTTGTGGACAAAGTCAGACACTCAGGCTGGGCGCTGTAACACTACTGGGACCAGCAAGGAGCCCTGGGGGTGAGTCTTCCCCACCTGCAGTTCCACCAAATCTTCTGGGGGCCAACCACCAGCTGACTGGTAGGGGCCAGCCAGTGGATCGGTCGGCAGGTCGGCCGCTGACATCGGAGGCCACTAACAGCCAGCTGTGCTACTCTGATACAGACGTTGATTGCCATATAAGTCAATCATCCTAGTTCACACACTTGAAACTTTCACAAACGTTTGATTTGTCATGTCCCCGGTGGCTGTGAGTGGGCATTTTTTTAGTATGCGGACATCCACCACCGGTAGAACAGAGAAGGGAGTTGGGTGCTCGGCAGCGAGGTGAGGTGAGGGGATGTGAGATGAGGCGAGGCAAGCGTAGGCGAGTTCGGGTTCAGGCATGCTTGGCTAGAACGAAGAAGAGAGTGGGCGGGGGGTAGTGAGCTGAGGTGAGGTGGGGTAAGGCAAGGCAAAGCGAGGCTTGGGTTTGGGCCCGTTTGGCTAAACAAGAAGCAAACTCACCGAGCACAGCACGGATTGCGCCTATGTTGTTGGTCACCCCAGTAGCTGTCTCGTTGTGTACGACGCAAACTGCCTTCACCATCTTCATTTTGTCAGCCTCCAGTTTCCTCCGGAGAACATTGAGATCCACTCCGGCACCCCATTCACATTCCACCTCGTCAACATCAAAGTTCAGACGCCTCATCTGGTCAATCCACAGTAGGCTGAATTGCCCCATCTCAAAAGAGATGATTTTGTCCCCTGGTGATAGTGTGTTCGTCAAAGCACTTTCCCAAGCACCCGTGCCTGCAACAAAGTTTCGCAAATCCCCAATGGCAACACATAAGCACAGACACCATTGTCATCATCATTATCAGCAGCAGCACTGGTAGTAGCAGAAGCAGAATCAGCAGCAGCACTGGTAATGGCAGAAACAGAAGAAAAAGAGGGAAGAGGAGAAGGGGGAAAAGAAGAAGAAGAAGGAAGAGCTGACCAGCCAATCCATTAACATGTAATGGAGAGATGGATTGCTTCTGTAACACAGTACAGTTTGGCACAAAGGCTACTCCATTCATCGTGGGACACTGAATGTCCCACTCACTTCGTTTTGGGAGGAAGGAAGGAAGGAAATTTTGCTCTTCTCTCCCCCCCCCTTCCTCTTTCCTTTTCTTCCTTTCAAAAAGGGCAATGGACTTGAGATATCTTCAATCATGTCAATGTGACCGGGCCCAGGTACATTCAGAGTTACTTACTCATCTGAGTTGATTGAGATTCGAACTGACGCCTGTATTTCAACAGTTCATGGGTATACCAACTGAACTAGGCACCGGTTTGTAAGGTCACCATGTTTTCCGGATTCTGAGGTGATGTCATTCTTATCATCAACTGTTTTGTCAAGCCTTGGCTTAACCGATGCGTTGTCCTTAAGGTTTATCTAGACTGGCATCAGTACAACTGGGGGTTTCTCTAGTTCACTTGCCAACCCAGCAGAAGGTTTATCGTTGTTAGGAGAAGTAAACCCGAGTCTGCTCTGGATGCCTCTACTGAGATATGTCACATTTCCATCTCAGCTGCTCAATTTATGTTGCAGTGCTGCCAGTGCAGGAAAAGCTGGATTGAGGAGCAAGTCAGAGCCGGCCTCCATAGATAGGATCTCGGGAGGAGGTGCAACAGGAACACTAGAGGTACTGCAGAAAATGAGTGGAATCTGGAGAGAGAGAGAGAGAGAGAGAGAGAGAGAGAGAGAGAGAGAGAGAGAGAGAGAGAGAGAGAGAGAGAGAGAGAGAG